TTCAAGCACTAATCTCAGAGAAGTGATGCAGTCAGGCTACAGCCGTATGAGATGCCTGGGCAATCTGACATCTCACTGCTGTGAAAGGGATGGGTTCTGCTTCCCCCTTTCTCCTCCCCAACTTCTCCCTGATCCACTCCCCTTTAGTTGCAGCAAACGCCTGTTCACCTCAGCCCCTTCATCCAAGGACATCCTCATTGTAGGGAAGGTTGGACATTTCAAGGTAGGCAGGGTGACATTTCTTAGGAGTGCAACAAGGCAGACCTTCAGAGCTGGTACAGATCAGTGTAACTCCTTGGAAACTGGGCTGCACAGAGTTACTGTAGTTCAGGATATGGAACACAAAGCTCAAAGACTCAGAAGAACTACAGTCAAGTGTTTATAGTGCTAAACTTCCCCTTGATTTCAGTGAGTTGACCTAGACCTCCCTCAGTTTGTCACTAGCCAAAGAGTGACCTCTGCTCACAGCAGTATAATGAGAGCCAGCATAGTCTCACTGCACTCGTTTTAGGAAGTAAGTAATCCTCCGTATGCCTCAAGACATGAACAAGATGCTGATGTGGTGAGAAAGGCTGCCCATATATATATATATATATATGGGTTTTTTTCCCCCCCCCCATTAATGGGTTCCGCGAACCTTCTTCTAACAGCTCTGCTGCTGGCCACAGCCAAAGGACAGCACAAGGGACTAAGCAGCTGCAGGTGTCCTGGTCTGCACCTTCTATAGTCCCAGTATGACAGAGAGGACATTAAGCATTGATAATTATTCCTACCCAGCATCATAGCCTTGAATCATAATATCCATACTTTTTATAATGTTGTAGAGGAGAGATGGAACCTAGAATTGCTGCTAGAAAAACCATAAAAAGAATGTTTATGCTGCATAGTCCTTTCTGATAGAAAAGCTAAAAATACATTGCTGAAACTAGGATTGATTGCAGCTTTCCTTCTTGTCCATTTACTGGACCTGAGAAACAACAGAGGAGTCCCACAAACAGCCAAGAGTGACCAAGAAGACAGCAGACTGGGTTTCTTTTTGTTTTTCTTCAGACTTTGAACAAGGGCAACAGAAACCACTGGTCCCCAGGTTAAATTGGCTTAGCTCACAAACTGATTGTGTAGGACAGGCCCCTGAGAAAGAAAAGAAAATATACACAAAACCAACCTGGCTAGTTCATGCTGCTCTGACAGGGTGTCCTCTGGGAGATCATAAGAACGTTCGACTTCACTTTCATCAAAATGAAACAGTAGCAGAAATTGGCTCCTACCATTGACTAGTTCAGCATACATACGTTATGTGGATATAACACTGTCTTTTCCTTGTTTTCCTGCTTCATTTCATTTGAGTGGGGCAATAAAATTACTGCAACCAGTATAATCAGGTGTAACCAGCCCTTAAAATCTTGGGGAGTTGTGATCATAGTCTGCCCCACAGTGGGACAGCAACACTGGAGAAACGTGTTGGGTACACACTGGTATCTTCACGGAGCAACCCCTTTGCCTGATTCACTGCAGGTGTCTGTACAGGACAGTGGTAGCATATTTTGGATGTTGATCTCTAAGAAATAAAAAGTAGTATTTCTGCAGCACTCCAAAAATCTTTGTTCCTTTGGTACTTTGATTGGCAGTGAACAGAATCGCACACCTCATTTGACAGATTTCTTGAAGCGCAAGCAATACAGCTCAGGACTGTGAGCAGACGCTCAGCTTCTGGCTTCCTCATTCGTGACTAAAGCTCAAGGAAAAGAGAACTGTGCTGCCGCTGCCCAAAATGTGCCAAGGCAGCCTTCACGCTGTCAGCCCAGCACCTTCCTCCAGCACCAACTCATTTCCTATTCATTTATAAAAAGCCATCTGTCCCTCAGCAATTCTGAACCACAAACCTCCCAGTAAATCAGACCGCTTTCTGAAGAAAAGGGCTGATATCCTCTGAAGAGAGCTGGAGATTAAACAGACCAGTTTCATAAATCCCAAACAAGCCAGCAGATGAAACCTGGTGAATTTTTATTGTAGGCAAGAGGAAGGAGGATACTACAGCTCTGTCAGATTGCATTTAAAGGTTTGTTCCAGGACTAGGACTGTGTGCGTTTTTTTTTTTTAATTATTATTATTATTATTATTATTATTATTTTCACAGTCTTTATTTAAACTCCTACCAGCGCTGTGTCAAACAGAAGAGCTGTTATTGTCTGTGTTTCTATGAAATGAGGTTAAGTCAAGTCACACAGGAAGGTCACACAGGAAATCCATAGCAAACTAGGAAACCAAACTGGATCTTGATTCCTGTCTTAACCAGTAGAAAATTCAAATACAAACTTGCAATGCACCACAGTGGGAAAGGATTGCACCCTTTATAAGTGCATGCTAACATATGCTTCCCAGGCGCCTTCATAGTGGTCAGAAGGGTCTTCTGGAGGTCACCTAGTCCAACAGCAGAGCTGTTGGCCAACACTTCTTCAGGTCAGCCTGAGTTCTATCATTTGTAGTTATTATTTTGCACATAAGCCATTATTCTACATCCCAGTGAAATTAATGGCAGATTTTCCATTGATTTCACTGATTTTGGTGTCTGTCTGGTCTGTAGGAGAGGCAAATATAAACCTTGTTTAATATATGTGAAGGGGATATACTGCATGATGTGCGTATTGATTCTCTGACTAATTTGGCACTAATGAAGAACATGTAAATGTTCTGGAAGAATAGTGTGCCATAGATAAAGATTATGAATGGAAAAATGCTGACTCTGTAATAGCTCCTGATAGTTCACATGGACTTTAAAGTGTCTAAAAGGTAAGCATGAGCATTTATGTAATGGAAGGAGCTCAGAGGGATCACAGAACAGAGGGCTGGAAAAGAGACCTAAAGAGAAAGTATTTGTACTGTCTAACTATCTCTCCCTATTGGCAGTGTGAGCAGCATCAGCTCCTAATTCAGTGCACCTGAGGAAAACACCTGATAGCCTAAATAAGCTAGATGATAGGAGTAACCCACCTAATTCATCTCTCTGTCTCCTGGAAAGATCAAGTATCCTTGAAAGATGAAGGTACAAAACTCTCTGTGTGGTCTTTGCCTTTCACTCTGTGTATAAGCCTGCTTCAAGCTAAGAGCACAGCTGTTTGGCAAGTCAATAGCCACTTAAAAAGCTTCTACCATCTCATCCCAAAATGTAAACAAACAGTCTGTAACAAACCAAAAACAGGCGCTAGTAAAACAGAAAACACTGCTTTTATCTCACAGAGCAGCATTTATTCTTCTTGATCTACTTATTTATTGTCCTAAATGCAGTGAACTAAAAAAATCAGTTTTGTAATTCTTCATCCCTCCATAAACGGTAATTCAGAGATTGCTTAGCAGAGCAGAGACAAATTCTAATGCTGCAGTTTCTCTTGCTTTTGAAAAATACAAAATATAATTTGAAAAGAGAATAACAAGGCCACAGTCTTTTGCCAAAAAGACAAAATCTTGCAGAAGCAATTAGCACGGGAAACAATGTACAAGGCTTTGTAGTTTTAATCTTTGATGTCAGAAGGTTGGAAGCCAAAGAATGAAGTTCCCTCCCCTCCTGCCATGGACGTGGAGTCCAGCATCAATAAATAGATCTTCCTGTGTGTTTGTCCAGAGCTGCCAGCTGACCAAACCATGTTTCTCTACCAAAATGTCACTAGTTTATAAGGGGTTGACTGTTAGGCCCAATACTTTTTACTGGGAGAATATAAGCGTGAGCAGCGGCGTTTTTGTCCCTCGCTGTCTTCTGCTGTAGCTAAAAGGGATGAAGCGGCATAGAGTGCCCTGGGGGCATATGTTTTGTCTGCTGAAGGGCTCCCCAGTATACGAACTGACGGCCACTCAGTTCTTCCAAGGCCTCGTCACAAGCCCACATACAGCGACTGAAGGTGCAGCGCATCATGCCAGTGAGACACTAGCGTGTTGCAGCTCCCAAGTATGTGTTGTCACTCAGCCACAACTCGGCCTTCCTATGCTCTTAGAGCAGCCCCTGACTGGACGAACCGCCCAGGGGTGGCCGAGCTTAAATGTGGCTCCATCTTCCCCTTGCCCTCAGCAGCAAGTTGTGTGCAGCACCTCTGCGAAGCCTCTCCCCACAGACCATGTAAGCTTGGCATAAAATGCCCCCGACTCTCACAGACATAAAGGGAAGCTGGGGGTACTTGGCTCTTTGAGGTTGGTGCTTGACAAAATGGTTCAACTGTGAGCTTTTATTGAGCCTGACAGACACGACAAATCTTATCCCTGCTGGAAACAGCCGTAAAACTTTCACTGTGTTCACTGACACTAAGCCATATCTGCTTCCTAGAGTGCTAGAGAGCTCTGAACAAGCTCACTTACATCCATATAACCGTATTTCTGTCAGTGGAGTCAGAAGCATGTCACTGAGAAGGAAATTGGTGGAAGCCACCATTAAGACTGCTAGATACAAAACGTGTACACTTTGCAACCTCATATTAAAGTTCAGAAAAGCTGAAAAAGTTTAAAATAGCTGTTTACTAATTTCCCAGGTTGCTACCCAAATGAAAAATGTACCTAGGACATCTGTGTCCATTTATAGCACCCAAAGTGAAATTGAAAAGGAAGACAGACGCAAAATAAGAGCTGAACAAGTGTATGCATTTCTAATAAAAGACTTGCCAAGTCCCTACTGTTGTAAATTACCATCTGCCAGCTTCCTATGTGATTTGAAGGATAAAGTCAGCCTTTTATGGATTCAGTAAATACCTGAACTAAAATGAGATAAACGCAGAAGATGATGGACTCAGTTTCCTAACTCTGCTACTGCTGTGTGAACTAATACATGCAAAACCAAGCCATGCCATGTTTCAGGTACTTTGAAGGGTGAGAACCTGCAGAAAAGTATTACCAAGGTAAGGCGTAACAATACAGCCCTTAAAACATGAAACTGGTTTCACCTCAGTCTGAAACAGCCTAATTCATCGCCCTTTACTGTGGATAACATCTAATGAAGGGTTCTCTCTGCTTCATTTCAGAACCACGATCACACCTGTATTGCATGCCGAATCATCTACCGCTCAGATGAGCACCATCCTCCCATCTTACCCCCCAAGGCGGATTTGACTATAGGGCTACACGGAGAGTGGGTGAGCCAGCGTTGTGAGGTGCGACCTGAGGTCCTCTTTCTCACTCGGCACTTCATCTTCCATGACAACAACAACACCTGGGAAGGTCACTACTATCACTACTCTGACCCCATCTGCAAACACCCCACCTTTACCATCTACGCCAAGGGGCGCTACAGCCGAGGAGTGCATTCTTCCAAAGTGATGGGTGGAACAGAGTTCGTATTCAAAGGTAGAGCGGTGCACTGTACTGTGGGCAGAAACAGTCAATTAGTTACTGACCAGAGCAGGGTTTGCTCGTAATGGCTCAAAAGGTGCTAATGATTTCATTCTGTCATTTTTAGGATTTAGACATTTTGGGGGAAGTTCCAGGCATTCTGTGAATGCCCAGCCAAACTATACAGTTGCATTTTATTTCCCACCACTGAAGCAATACTCATCTGAGGCAAAACATAGACATCTTTAAGGACAGCACAACAAAATAAGACTTTAACTTGCATCACTAAGTCCTGGAGTCCACTGGCCTGACTTTAAGCATCTAAATGAAACACCTAAGATTGGATCAGTGTCTGGGGCATCCTTCAGTGGAGAGAAAAAAGTACCTTCAGAAAGCATTTCAGGTCACAGGTGGTGGGGTGAAGGCAGATACAGAAGTATGTATCTTTTGTCATCAGCTTCCAAGGGGGCCTAGAGCAAGTAAGAACATCTATAAAGATAACACTGATTAATCCCACAACAGCAAAACCTAGCTCTACCTAACTAAAACCGCTGGAGCGCTTCAGGAGGCAGCATTCAGTGGTGACGCTGCTCAGGTCCCAATGGCTTAAAGAGCCTTCTTGTACAAATAGTACAATAGTACACTGCTTGAAAGGAGCTCAGTGGCCTTAACCATTCACATAAACATCTGCAAAACATGACATCCCTCCATAGCACCAGCCCCACTAGAGCCTGTGGAAGCCCCAAGCACTCTGTAGGCTATTTTCCTCATTTCAGTTATCATGCGAGAAGTATATGGCTTCTTGTATGCCTCCAATTTAGGAAAGTATCTGACTAGAAGAAATAACTTATTAATGTGGGATTTTCACCGGAGGCAGAAGATATCCCTGCCTGTCAGAGCTTTTGCTCTTTATTGCTGTATGTAGCATGTCCCAGTCACGCTCCTGGAGTGAAGTCCAGTTTTTGCTCAAAGTTCTAATTTATGAAATGCCAACTTAGATCACAGATCAAGGTCAAATAATTTGGTTCTAGAAAAACATTTAGGTTCACTTTCTGTAGATTACATTTTATGTCAGCTAAGACAAATAACATGAACTGTAGAGCCATTGAGTCAAATATATGTTCATAAAGTCTCAGAATAAAATTCCCAACAAATCGTACTATAAAAAGAAATCAACGTTCCTAATGACCTGCAAGAGAATTTGGTTATTTGCTTCCGGTTTGGTCAGCATCGATGCATTCAGAATCCACTTTCTTCCCTTGAAATATAGCGTCAAACACACATGTAGAATAATCTCTATTCAACTTCCACAGGCTCATTCAATTTAGCTTTTTCCAACTTGATAAACTGGGCTGCAAAATCAATATTTATGTGCCTTAAGCTCCTTTGAAATATAGTCAATTTAGTTAGAACTGAGAAGCTGTAAGACTTTTACATCTGACAGCATACACTGCATTCTCTGTTAGGACAGGAGAAACAGTAGCCCTCTACAATTCAGCACTAACTATATAATTCATGAAAGAAAAACAGGTGATATATGAAGACAGTGCAGTTGTGGTAATTTCTAAATTTTGCAATTGGAACTTATTTCATTTGCTTTATGTGGCAACATGTTAAAAGAATGATAAGAAGACGTTATAAACAGTTCTACTTATGGATTAAATGGTAATAAAATATGAGTAAAGTTTTATTATTTCCTCTTTTATGTATCTTCTCATGTAACTAACCAGGCTTTATCTCTAAAAGATCGTGTGGGATTTATGAAAAGCGCTGCTTAATCTCCAAGATATGCAACCATCAGTTTTTCTTCAGTAGATTTTTTTTTTTTTTTTACGTTCTGTGCAAGAGGCAATTACGTCCAAGATGTAAAGTGATGCCAGTAGAATTTTTGGCCACACCTGCAATATAAAAATTTGATTTAAGAAAGAACAAGCAGAGATTCAGAGCTGCTCTAATTCTTCTTGGTAAGATGAAAAGACATCCTTAAATAAATTCAAGGAGCACCAGCATATCCCCAAGCATATTCAAAATAACCTTATCTCCATAGTTTCTAAGTGCATTAAGCAACATGGCTAACTTGAACCCTTCATGACTTTGCTAGCATCAGTCATAATTAACATAGACAAAAGGGTCAGTTTCAAAAGGATTTTGCAATTTTCCTCCCCTACTGATCTCAGCGTGCATGAGATCAAATACTAAAATTATGCCAGCCAAGGCCATAAGTGCCCTGTGCTACACATGCAAACAGAACGGTGAGCCCCCATTACAGTTCTAATTTCACAGGTACGCCCCAATCAGCCTAATGTATTTCTTTTTGTCCCTCTGCTAACACCTCCTCTCTTCCTTTTTCACAGTAAACCACATGAAAGTCACTCCCATGGATATATCCACAGCCTCGCTGCTGAACGTCTTCAATGGGAACGAGTGTGGAGCGCAGGGATCCTGGCAAGTCGGAGTTCAGCAAGACGTTACTCACACAAACGGCTGCATTGCGCTCGGCATCCGCCTACCTCACACCGAGTATGAAATCTTCAAAATGGAACAGGACACCAGGGGCAGGTACTTGCTGTACAATGGCCAAAGACCGAGCGATGGGTCTAGCCCGGACAGACCGGAGAAGAGAGCCACTTCCTACCAGATGCCTTTAATTCAGTGCGCTTCATCAGTGCCCAGATCTGAAGAGTCACCAGAGGAGAGTAAAATAAGGCTGTATAGCAGCGGGTCAGCAGAAAAATATTCCAGCGGCCCAGCTCTTGCTTTGGTGTTGTTTATTTGTACTGTGTCATATTGGGACATGCTCAGCTAGAAGTGAAAAAATTATTTTTCATGACTGCAAAGCCAGGATACCAGAAGACTGAAGGTTGTTTTTCTTCAGAAAGAAAGGGACATTTATTTTCTTGATGCACTTGAATGCCTAAGAATTGTTGTTCTTTTCCTTATTTTTCCCCCTCCTTGAATCATGAACGGCACTCGTTTGATGTCTGTGCTTTGAACTTCATCCAGTCTGATCCCTGGCCTGACATGACTGCACAAAAGTAATTGCACTTTAGGACTGCAGACTTTTTGGGGGGAGGGAGGGGGTCTCCTTTTCTTAACTGCTGGGGTGAACGTTACAATACTGCTTCAGTTGCCTCTGCCATTTTACCAATGTGGTACTTCTCTGCCCAAGGCTCAATTTCTCATCAGAATTCAACTCTGAGGAATCACTCAGTGTAGTGTTAATACTGTGATAATGGATTCTCACTTTGACCTTAGAACTCTGATGTAGATATGTATATAAGAGAGAAACCCACAAGGATTTATCTAATCATTATCTCACAGCTCATAACACAAAAAGAATCGGCAAATAAAACAATCCTCCATTCAGATAAGTGCTAAATGGTTGGTATCTCCAATTAAAAAAATATTCTAAGTAATTTAAACTATCTTTACACTCATTAAGTTGTAGAAATAACCAATGACTTAGTATTTTCTCAATTTCCTTAGTTATGTAATTGCTTCTAGGCCTCCCTTTTTATCTAGTGAGTAGTTAACAACCAAACCCTCTTAAAGCCAGATAGAAAAAGCATTTTTTTAATCAGATGTGCACTGTACAGGTAAGTTGGTGATATAAGGTTGAAGTGACGTGTTCTGTTTACATATTCACGAGGCCTTATATACTCTCTGTGCAGTATTTCTACCTTGGATTTTGCTTTTTCCAGGTGGACAAACTATAAAGAAGCATATGGGGCTGCAGGACATTCTGCAACCCACTCTCGCAGCATTATTTTAATGATGTAAAGGGACATTACAAAGGAACAAGTAAAGGGTCTTAGCAGCAAACACACCAGGAGCCCTAGTATTGCTTTTAGTTTAGAGAGCAAGAAAGCAGTAGGAACCAGACCCACATCCATCTCAAAGAGAGAGAGACTGGCCCAATCTTTGTCAGAGTTGTTGGAGCAAGAGTTGCACAAACGCAGCCATCTCCATTTTCTCCCTGCTAGACAGTCCCTACACACCTTGTGGTTTCACCAACTTTAAGCCTACCTCAGTTTGGGGAGACACCGCCAAGAAGACATAGGCACAGCCCTCACAGAGCTTCCCTCAACAACACGCTTCTTGAACACCCTAGGATCTCCTCCGGGGAGAAAATTTTCTCCTATACACACAGACGTGAACCAGAGCAAGTGGATGCTCTCAGAAGAGCCAACAGGGGAGATAAGGCCATCAAGGAGGTAGGTTCAGGTCACAGGTGAAGCATGCTCCCCCGTTTTGAAGGGGACCAAGCTGAGGGCATGGCTTAGCCTTGTAGCGTTTGCGACATGCCTTTAATGATACACAGGAGCATTTGGGCTCACAGGAGGAGCGGGAACCTATGTAAGAAACGGGAGGAACAAGGTCATAGTGTTCCTTCATCAGGATTTAAGTAGAACCTGCCCAGTCCAGACCAGAGAGAAAGAACCCTCAGAAGTGTCCTTTTTAGCATTATAGGAAAGACATGTCTTGAATAAAGGTCTTTCAGCTTTACATAGGTGAGTACATACTGTGTGCTATAGCAAAAACGTTCTTTAAAAACAGTGATACCATGATTCTTCCTAGGAAAGCAAGCAGGAAAAAGCTATTCAAGTCGCAATGGCGATACAGAGGCTCCCTGACTAACTCCCCAAAGTTTGCTGCTTTGCTGACAATTTTTCAAGCTGGTGTCAGCCTTTGATGCACACTTCCTCACAGAGGGGCACAAAATCATTTCACCTGTTTTTGGGACAGCACAAACAAGAGGAAGTGGTTAAGGAACAACCACAGACTCACTGCCAGATCAGATCACACCTTTCACGTTTTTTCTTCAAACAGATGAAAAGTCACAGAAAACCCAACGGAGCAGTCAGGAATGCAGCTCAGGAGTCATCAGAGAAAGCATTTGTCCATCCATCTAATTACCAGATTGTCCTTCAGCATGCTGGAAGGAGCCAGGAGCCAACTCACCCTGATGAACCAAGCCCTGAGAACAACAGCTGGTCTAATCACCGTTTCTTGCTGTGGCTCTCTGCTCCACGCAGTTAAAACTGCTCAGAGAGGGTCAGTTCTGGATGAGCTGCTGGTAGGGAGGCATTAGGGGCACAGCTTTAACCAAAGGGTCAAGAGAGCAACACAATCCCTATACCTCTGGAAGACGACACTAAGTACCAGAAAGGAGTTTCTCTAGTTAGACGGGAGTTTTATGTTCAGCAGATTTACACCAGCCCGTCTCCAACTGAGCGACTCCTGATCTATTACCAGTCAAACAAGTCCCTTCAGATACTAACTTAGTTTCTCACTTTTTTTTAAATTGCATGAGGGAATTCATATTTGTTTCTATTTCTAAAGATGCATATGGTGTGTATTTCTTAAAACTCACAAAACATGCTTCTTTCTCCATTGCCTGTTTCCACCTTAGGAGGTCTCCTTTTCTGAAAAAGGTCATTATAAGTCGTTTGGAATTATTAAACACTGATCCTGCACTATGTGGGTGCCACACGCTGCTTAGTCCCAGCTGAAATCTGCACATTGTTGTAATGCAGGATCGAACCCCATAGCCAAAGAACTTGTCTTCACCGTGATATTCAATGTTTAGTAGAGCAAGGATCTACAATTTATTAGTGTTTCCTAGCTCCTTGGTAAATTGCTCAGTTTCAGAACTATCACAAGTTTCAAAAGAGAAAGACCTGTCTAGTTCTTTCCTCCAAAAAGCACGTTCATATTCAAAATACAATAAACACTCACTTTAAATCACAGTTTCATTTAGGTTTTCTGAGAGTTTTATCATTTGCACTAATTGCAAGTGTAACAATATAAGAATTGTACAACAACTGTGTTTTTTTTCTGTCACCTAGAGATACTTAAAAAGGAAGCACTTCACAATGCATTGCAAGAAGTCTGATTTGGGGCTCTTCCAGTTCATTTGTAGTGTTGACTAGGAACATAATTTTATGATCAGGGTTCTTAGCGTATGCTGCACCAGCCTTCTGCCAAACCTTGTATATATATATATATTTTTTTTCCTGTTAGTCAACAGAAGCCAAGATGGACAAAGATAAAAATAAGTCTTCAGAGTGCATACTTTATTTGTCAATCCATGTTCTCTACAGGGATTCGCCTAGGTTACAGGCGCAGAACTAGGAGCTAAGCTTCCTTCATCTTCTCATTTCATCACGCGCTAAGGTACCGGTTGTACAACACCATCTACATACGTGACACAATATACTCCATTCATTTCATTTGTTTAACCTAACCTCCTCAAATGCTGGCAGCCCTGGCTGCTAAAGAGCTTAAGCACAAGTGGTTTAGCAGTGGCAGGCCTGCAAATTCTGTAATTTGTCCCATATCAAAGCTCAAACATTTTAAAAGCAGAAGGATTAAAGTGATACTAACTGTCACTGCAGCCAGGATGAGTGAAAGAAGTGTATCCCTTAGCACCATTGTAATTGCCTACTCAACGAGTCACCTGACCCCCCAAAAATGGTATATCTGAAGAAGCTCTTGGGTAAATTATTTTTTCATGTTCTATTTTAAAAAGGACAAAAGGGATCAGAAAGTTAAAACAAAAGTGTTCCTCGTCTGTTTCTACATCACTTACATATTGTGTTTGCTACCCTGGGGTGGAATGTCATTTTTATGAGCAGAAGTCCATATTTTGAGATATAATGTCTATCGTGCTGGAGTTGGAGTGTGCTTGCTCAAAGCACAGGCTTTTTTTAAAGAAATCTTTCTATTTTTGTAACGTTATAGAAGATGTTTTTCTTCTCAACTATATGTCCCAGACTAAACTGCCGGGGAAGTTTAAGCACTTGTTAAAATACTGATTGAAATTAAAAAAAAAAAAAAAAAAAAAAGCCTAACTGAAAAATTAAGGATCTCTCTGCATCTTCTGCATAATAATTTTCTGTTCTGTCACCTCTCCCATGTGTAAAGAACGGTCCGTGTCTTGGAAAGCTGTATCCTTGTCTAGTATCTCCTCTAGTTGTGCACAGATAAGCTTACTGTATACCAGAAAATAATTTCATCTGAGAACGTCTCACTAGAAAGAGTTGTGATGAATACAGCAGGGATGATTCGGGTTTCACAGCAAATCTTCAGGTTGTCTGAATAAAATGAGCTGAAACACAGGCTGGAAGCGTATGGCAAGCAATGACAGTGTTGGCTTGCAAGGGTAGTATGGTCATAACAGCTGTGGGTCAGTACAAAGGGTGTGGTATCAACAGAAACAAAATATTTTTCATAAAGGAACTGTAATCAAACAAAACATTATTGTTCTCTCTCACTTGCTCCAAGGGCTACAACACAGGGGGGAAAAAAATAAGGATACTTTTCTTAAAGAGACAGAAATCTGAGATGAACTGAGAATGGAAATAAAGCCACAGGATAGCAAAAGCTTTCTTTTCTTCCGTGCTCTGCAGTTTCACTACTGCCTCACTTGCATACAGAAGACAGAGGTGAAATGAAGTCAATGAGACTTCCACTTCTGACTTCAAAAGCCTGGGATTTGACCAAGTTCTTAGTTTTTAAAACTTTTTTTTTTTTTTTTTTTTTATGTTTGGAAACATAACAGCAGATCCCTGAACGATGAGCTTGATTTTCAGGAAGCATGCCCTAAATTACAAGGCACTCTGAATGCTGTAGCCACAGCCTGTAAAGAAGTGGCCTCCCTTTCCACCCAAAGCTGTGGGTATGGATGAATACAGGCATAAATAGATGCTGCATGGCTTAATTCACCCCTTCCTGACTCAAAAAGGAAGACTAGGCAATAAAAAAACAGCACCACTCAGTCTGAATTTTAACATGTGATTACTTCCCATATATTTTTCCTCTTATTACAAGTATTTGCCAAAAAGTTTTTCCTTCTAATCTTCTCCTCTGGACTGCGATCACAGGGTTGATCTTTTTTAGAATTTGCTGTCAGCACCAAATAATAAAGAAATGAAAACCTGAACTTTTGCTTCACTGCTGAATTAGGCAGAAATAAACATGGTTGTGAGGAATCAAACCACAAATACGTTCAAAAACTAAGGAAACAACATTGTTGGCCTGAGCAATTATTTATTAAGCTCTCTTCTCCCTACCCCTTCTTCTTCTTCTTCTTCTTCTTCACAATTTTATTCCAGAGTAGAAAACTGTCCCTCAGAAGGCTTTTAGCAACGGAGCTACGAAACTCTGAGGACAATAATTAATTCATAGGCAGCTTCCAGGGAAGGAAACCGCCAGTGCCTGAAAGCAGGCAGATGCTACTCCCAACAGCCCTTTCCCATAGGAATCACCTAAGTTCCTGTCCACTACAATTTCCAAACATTCTATTGGAAAATGAGAAATAGAACTGTACAAGATAATATTGTCTTCAAATAAATGAAAAGTCTACAAAAAAGATTACATGTGAAATTGCTGGGAATTAGACCATCTGCATTCTAACTCTGCTGAATTCAGCAGATCCATCTACCTACAAAGCATGGGATCACACCTACACACCCTTATCCAGAGGACAAGAACTTGCTAAATAATACATGCCCTATCAATTGCTATAAAAAAATTTCCAACTAGTTAATCCCTTTTCTTTAGCACCAAATATTGGCAGCCTGAAGACACCAGGAGATTATCAAAACAACATATACATGCACGTTAATTTCACTAACTGCCCTATCACATATTGCTGGAAACAGAGTATCTTCCAGCAAAGCAAAATGCCTAGTTTCATCACTATATGAGACACACACACATTCAAATATTTTGCCACAAAAAAATAAGCTATAAATCTGAAATCTTTATCACGTGTGTGTGACTTCAACTGATAAATTTACTGAATTAATCAGTGGATCTTGTGATATTGGCGTGCCAGGGTCTTTAAGCAGCTCATTAAGGAATTTAAAATTCACTGGAGGCAGTTTGAGCCTTTTTAAAGAGTGGTTAGGGCTAAGAAGATATTGCCATCTGGTGGCGACAGCTTGCTGAACAATAATCCTCCTGTGCATTCTCTGAAGAACCAAGCCACCCCTCTTCAGAGGGCTAACCACTAGAATGCCCTGATTGATGGGGAAGCAGGGAGATAAGCAGTTAAAAGAAAATAATTATAAGATGTCAAAATATTCCAGTGCAGTCACTTTTAAAGCACAGTTACGTAAGACTGGCACAGGAGCGATAACAGCTTTTATTAGACCTGCTAATACACTTAGGGGAGAGGGGAGGCAGAGGGGAACCAAAACCAGACAAGCTTTAAGCTTCACAGTCCCTTTATCAAGGCTAATAAGCAGAAGAAGAATTAAAGTTAAACAGAGGATAGAGATGCTTTCTCTTAGTCTGATTACAACAATTATTTAGACCACGTAGGAGGGCAAGTTAGCAACAGGGGAGCAGGGGAGCGTCAACAAGGTAAGAAGGTGACACCATCATCTTCTATGGAAGAGAGAAAGAAAAGGGTCATCAGAGCCTTCGTAACTGGGCAAATTAATAGCAAAACTGTATTGGCCCTTAAACCAGTGTCTCTGCTGAGTCCATGGCTCTAGCATACAGAAATTAACACATACATCTTTTAAAGATACAAGTCTTCCCTGGGGGGTCAAGTTAACACTAAAATTTCATTCCATAAGGTGATCTCTCCTTACCAGGAGAGCGCACCATCCATGGGATTGGCAGTGATAAAGAAATAACAAGAATTACATTCAAAAGAACTCTGAAGTTGCACTTCCAAAAGTTAAGAAATGCAAAAAACGAAGCTTTGCCCTTGCAACTTTCCCTGCAGCCTCTTCTGCATGTGCAGAGTCAAGACAAAACTCTGCAAACCTATACAATATACGCTAAAGAAATTCGTTCTCCACGCTCCTTAAGGAATACTGGGGAAATGATTGTTTGCATGTTCTAAATTGTACGAACCACTTCTGTGATAAATATATATAGAGAGAGAGACACTTACACACATACGATAAAAACATGTATTTTCGACTTTACATATATAAAGACTTCATATGCATTTCTGCAATATTAATAAGGCAGAACAGTGATGTGGGAATAGATTTATAGTTCAGTGATTTCCGACGGTCAAGATACGCTTCACAAGAAAAAGATTCTGCACCTGAGACAAAATTCAGCTACCAATTTTTTTTTTTTCGGATTGGGCTTGCTTCCTCCTCATCAGTTAAGCTCTTAAGACATCACCCAGCCTCTCTTTCTGCAGCTTCCTACAGTTGCAGGATACAGAAACCTGCGACCCCAGCAAGTCCCCTCTCAATTTCGTCTTGGGCAGGGAGGAGCAGCAAAGCTGCTGGAGAGAAACCACAGGAAGAAGAATGGATCTGGCTAAAATTACAAGCTTGACTTTATACATACGAAGTCTAAAATGTATATACAAAAGCACAATGGAAAAGGCAATGGTGTATGTGTGTCACGCCTCATATATGATGTGGTGGTATTTATTTATATATTTATTCATTGTATTATCAAAAATTTAAATAAACTCCCAAATCCACTAAAACTGTGCCAAGAGCCACACAATCAAATGCGCTACATATGCTATAAGTATTACTAGATTTTGACAGATACTCTATACCATTTAAAATCTTAGACTATTGTTGACTCACTCTACTTGCAAAAGCAAATGCTTTAACTTCCGTGATTCCAAATAGGACTAGTAGACAACCATAACTCCATGAGAGGGAGCATTCAGGACCTAAGTGAGCATCAGGCACTGGATTGGAAAGAATCTCCTATAAATATAGCTGAATTTCTCCATAACTAAAAACATTTTTGCACTGACAAAGGAGATCTTAGCACTTCACAAAAGCAGCAGCAAATACTTCTAGATGTTGGAAATCCACCTATTTTCACTCTAGTTTAAGCCCCCAGTTTCTGGTTTTCCAGGTCTCAACCTAGCACTTGCAGAGACTCAGAGCATATTCTGGAGAGCATTTTGGACAAGAAAGCTCCCATTTGGTGAAAACGAAGGAAACATTTCTGTAGCCAGTCACTCTAAAAATCAGTGATCTTAAAGTTGCTCAGAAGTTAGAGATGTCAGAAACAGTTAAAGGAGGAAAATGCAACACCTGAAGCAGTTACAGATGTATGATGCAACGTAAATCAGGTAGTAACTGAGTCCACTGTAATCACCAGTTTGCACATGAACATATGGACACCCCAGAAAGATTTGTGCACACATGCCTAAATATACATGTACACAAACAGACTTAAGGAAAATAGCATAACCCTGTTCTTAGGCCTGCACCACAGGGGAATTAACATTTGTGTGAGTCACCTAACATACTGCATTGCACACGCAGGGTGCTGTTCTTTGGCACAGAAGAACTCGTCTCCTACATTGTTCTTCTTTCATCGCACTCACATAACACTACTGAAGATAAGTCAAGAGGCCCCTGTTTGTGCATTGTTGGTTATGTGGCTAAAAATGTTTGCTTTTGGCCAGCTGCTCCATTTCTACACCCTTAGTTCCACAAATGCAACATCAATATAGCTCTAAAAAAGACCCATAAAACCACAATTAGTTTTTTCATCAAAACATCAGTCACATCTACTCTGCATATCAAACTCCTTGTCTCATCAATCGGCAATCATAAAATCGTTATTTCCAAAGTGCCTGAGCAGAGCAGGTTGGAGGATGAGGATTTAAGCACAAAGGACTGTACTTTTTTCCAAGTTTTCCAAGCACTTCTCATCCCATCGTGTTGAGAATTTTGGCCCAGTACTACAGAACCTGCCACATTCCAGGTCACGTGAGAAATTCATTCTAGTAACCTCAGGATGTTGCAGAGAGAGCTGAACTACCAAAATAATTTTCTTATATAGGCTCCTTCCTGCCTCCAGGTAAGATGTTTGAACTATGCCTGGGCTTGGTGAGTATGTGAGCGTTAATAGGGCAAATAGCAACCACCAGGACAGGTAGCTCTTCAGTTCGTTGTGCAGGCTTGCCCTTGATGGGAGCACGGATTTCAAGGTCTTTTATTTCAATGCTCATTTTCTGGTAATCAGAGGTAGTTGGCATCTGTGGAACATCAACATTTCTGTCAAACGTGGTTTAAATTAGATTTCAAATTCATATGGGGAGAAGCAGCACAAAGATGCTGCAATCACGTAAAGCTTGTCTCTTTAAAAAAATTCTTCCACAAATACACTGACCTTCCTTTGCCAGCGTAATCTGGTTCCTGTGGAGGCAGGACAAAGATAATTTCATCTAATCAGAAAAGCAATCTGTTCTGATTTTCTCAAAGCTGAGGAATGCAGTAAGAGGCCTAAGGGCTAAAGTATTTCAAGGTATTACAGAAGAAACTCAAGCATGAAAGCAGTACCATGAAGTTGGCTGCATTAGAGATCTGACGTTAGGCAATCATGGGCATGAGCAGTGACAGTCTTTCTCTCGTTCTCCTGTTTACAAGGCTGGTCACCGTGTTTTTAAGTTTTAGACCCTTCAGATGGAGAGAAGTCCCTGCTCTTGAAAAAGGCCACCAAAGTTTCTAGCACATGTTTAGGGACAAGGCAGTATGCGCAAACCTTTCTAATTCCCCAATTTCCCTGAGAAAACAAAGTAATCAACAAAGCCAACTCTGAAGTCATCTACTACCAACCTCACCTTTCTCATGACTGCCTCTTCCTACCGTACACTTGACAGCAACCACTTCGTAGCTCCCACTTGAGAGCTGGGGCAAGTGGCTCGTAATTTCAGAATTTTCAACTACTCTGAGGTGATTAAGGCAGCAATCAAGAAAAATTAGCCACGGCATGAGCTCCCAGCCTCCGAGAAGCACTCACTTTCTTCGTTATCAAAGCTGCACTCTTAAGTGCTTCTGATTAAAGCAGAGAGCTGTCTCGGCATTTGACACAGGGCTCAAGCTTTGTTTTCTCTATCTCCTAAGCCTTTCCAAAAAAAAGTTTTATAAATTAGACTGTCCTACAGAATGACTTAAGCCAAGGCCTCTCAACCATTAAAAGCACAGCATCAAGTTTATAATCAAGATAATTATTAGAGTCTCATTATGAATATACTTTAAACCAGCCCTTGTGTCAGTGCAGTAATATACTGCAGCTTGAAAAGCAGTAGTAACAGCAAAGGGTTTACTAATTTCAAGTAAAAAGACATCAGCCGATTTAGTTCCCCTAACAGTCTACTCTTGCTGGAGTGCCTTTGCTTGCAAAGGTCAAACACGATTAAGTTTTACAAAGCACTTGGCACTTCCTAGAAAGTGCCTCAAAAAAATTTCAAAATTTCAAAAAATTTCAAAATCTCTCTGTATCATCTGTATTCAGACTAGAAGTAGCCAGTCCAAAAATATTTTGCCTCTCCCGTAAGTGCAGCAACATATAACGTCACTAAGACACTAGTTATATAGAGTTAGGAGTGTTTCTTTTCTTGTACTTGAACGTACGAATGACACTGGATCCACAGATTTCTTTTCTGCTACACGGAAACACTTGTATGTTCTAACACTGAAAGTGCAATGGAAATGGTGTGGGGGGCGCTGTCATTAGTAGAGGTCAGTCTATAATCCCAGTCAACCTTTCATGCTTCTGACATTACTGCCCATTTAAAATTCAGCTCCAGAAAGGCAACAGCTAAGTCCTTGAGAAGGTGCTTTAAAGGCTTATCCAAGATTTCCAAGCGACATGAAGCAGCGTTTTGGAAACCCAATAAAAAAAATATTTAGACAAGGACCAAAGCAGGTTTGCTAAGAAGCAGGATGGAACGCGTGTTCGAGAACAGGGGCTTGTGCCTGAAACATCCCTTCCCAACCATTTGCCCCAACACTTGTGCCTCAGTTTCCCTGTCTGTAAAACCAGGATAAACCATGCTTACAAGACAGACTGAAAGACTCATGAAGATTGCTATTTAATTACTATCCACTCTGAAAACAGCCTAGACATTGATCACCACTGACCACCTCTCTGAAATCACCTATGCACTTGAGCCTACATCAGCATTAGTACAAATATAAACTTTCAAGAACATCTTGAAACAGTTATTGCCAGCAGTATTTTTTAAAGCAGAACCAGGATGATAAACAGACCAACATTTTTTAAAAAACAATTTAACGCAAGTTTTTGATACACAAGTTGAAAAGGTAAGAATAATTATTTCAATCACCTTCCACTTCATTTTTATTCACTCATTTCAAGCGTCTGAGCTCACACTCCTTGGCTACAATAACAGCTGTCTGTCTCATGCATCCATGCCTGGATACCTTACCAGCCCTTAAAGCTTCTCTAAAGAAAAGGGAGGGAAGGGGCAGCATTCTATCATTGCCAGTAAGAGAACTATAAACTGGGATTCAGGACCCTGCTGGCAGTATCATCACTGTTACACAGCCTGGCATCAGGGTTTAAATAAACTGGCACTTTAACATGGTTGGAGATGCTTAGATCACAAACGTGGACTTAGCTAAAATCAAATTTAATACACAAACTATTACATCTAATCTAATACTACAAACTATTTTTCACCCCTAACAGTTCCCAGATCCAGTTGACTATGCAGACACATAAACCCTTGACCCAGCACAAGAGGAACAGACACCGACTGTTTCTTTGGATGGTAGTACCAGCCTAAGGCACAGATACTTTACCTTCCAATCTAGCAGTAATGAGAAAGCCAGAGAAAAAATAAAAAAATAAAAAAATCAATCGTTTTGGTTTTGTGCAAGACATTTCTACGTAACGCTTCTGATTTAAAGGGCATATATATATATATATGAAGGTAACACTATCACTACCCTCTACTCACGCAGGCCTGTCAGTATCTTCTTAAAAGCAATTCTTCTTAAAAAAATGTGCACACTCTAAACAAAGGAAAACAGAATTAAAAAAACCCACAGAACCCCTGATTACTACTGGGTTACACTGTTTGAATGCCCCTGGAAAATAAAGGGGGAAATAAAGAAATCTGTCTCATATTTAATTACGTCATTAGTTCTCAGTCCTCCCTACAGGAACCCAAGCGCTTGTGAAGGCTGACTTATGTGCTCAGCCTCCCCCTCCTGGCCAACATTTAGATGTACCACCAGACTAAGGCAGCCACAAGATCAAGGTCAGCAAAGAGGGACACTCTAGTGTTACACAAGTATTTGTGCTCCAGGATACAACCTGCAAAGTCATCCAACGGGAACTGGTGTAGAAAGCAAAACAGTGAGGTGCACTGTTCACAGCAATGTAGTTACAAAGAGGAGATGCAGTATTTTATCCCAGCTGTAAATACAAAGAGCGGGGCTTTTCCACATTATAGTAAATGTTTATTACGGCTGTTCCGTAGCCAAGTAGATCTTATTCTATCTTTTACCACAGGCTGACGCAAGTGTTTGCCCTGACAAGTCTGTTGAGGCATCAATACCTAGGGACTCCAAACAGGAAAAAGAAAACTCCGTTTGTCACGATGAGTACGTAAATCCGACAAGCCATCAGCATCCTCAGTGTTGTGTGCATTCAGGCACCTGCTCTCCATTCGAGCACTGAATCTTCATCCAATCCAGCTTCATATTTACAAGCGGTAGCTAAAAGCAGGGCAGTATACAGCCTGTAAAGTGAACTAGATACACCTACTCGGTATTAGTAAAGTCTTTGCAATGTACACTCAGGGAGAAGTTTCAAAATAAGAAGGACACTACTACATTTTCAATTGTTTATTTACACTTCAGCTTTTAATATCTTTAAAGAAGGCCTGAAAAATACGTTTCGCTTATTGATTTTGTCTTTTCCCCTTTGGCAAAATGTCACTCTTCCATCTCACTCCTCCCAAGAGGATAATGAAGTTTCAAGTTAGTGTTTGTTTTTTTTCCAATACGTAAATCAGCTTCAATCATAGCAGCAGAAACATGCAAGCCTGGACAATAGTGTCTGTCAACAGCTTTTAGAGAATCAGTAGAAGTGCACAAATAGTTTGTGCATTAATACAAATATTTTTTTTTTAAATGTACTGGATATAATTTAAGTGGGTTAAATTTCGTGCCCAGAATAACTACAGAAGCTATATTTTCTACTTAACAAGGGGTTTTTCCCCTAAACCAGTATACTATCTTTTTAAAAGTGCTATATTCATAAAACTTTAAAATACCACTTTGATACTGTATACTTGTTCCACTTTGTCCTTTTGAGAGATCAGAAAAGCAACCTCTGATGCATATTAAACTAAAGTTGCGCATTTAGCCTCACATGACTTTATAGGCATCATCATTTGATCATATCACTAGGAACAGAGAAGACTATTTCCCCATGCTTACATACACAAGTAAGCAGGCAGACAAAGCAGGAAGTTCTAACCATTTCAGGAACAGAGACAAACGATTTAATCCATATTACATAATTCACTGAATACAGTTGATCTCATCCAAAGTCACTCCTGAGAGCAAAATAGTTTTAGCATTACATTTTATACACAGCTAATGAAGGGATTACTGGAAAGCAACAGTCTCCTTATACCATTAATGAGTACGTGGGTTATGAGACCTCTCCACACTTCCATTTTGAAGACTTCATGCCAACCAATGACCACATTTTACCACCATCTGTTTTGTATGTATTTAAAAAAAACTTTATCATTATTTGTTACTTTATTACTGGTGGCCCTTCATAGTACTGCTGACAGACATCAAACCTGAGTTGGCTGCACTGACAAATGACTCCTTTTTCCTGCTTGCAAGTCCTGAAAGTGCTGGTTACCCCTGAAAACCCCTGTGCACCGAGATCTCTGTACACTCTAAGATCTTCCCAGTTTGTTTGTTTGTTTGTTTGTTTGTTTATTTCCCTCCTTCAAGGCAGGGTTGACTGCCCTTTCTGAAGCAAACTACAGGCCGCAACTATTGCCCTCATCATTTTCCATGCGATCAGTTTGGATCAGGCTATGAAGTTTGATGTGTCAATGTTCTGTTAGAGATAAAATTGGAGAATTACACCATTCTCTACCAGCGGAATCAAAATAATCATGACCTTAGCACAGTTCTTCCAGTTACTGGAGTGAAAGGAGACTTGAACGCAGACACTGAAAACCTATAACTGGAAACATCTGTACTTGCATGCTTAAGTGAAAAGACAAGCAGTATGTGTATATTCATCATTTTCCTTGCATATATGCAAGATTTTATAAAAATTATATCACAGACAGCAATGACAGTACATGATGTAATCACAGGATTAAAAAAAAAACTAGAAATCAAAGGCAACCAATATAATGTAATTCTTCTCTAAAACATTTTTCTCAGCTAACATAATGTGTGCGTATACCAAGGTCTAACACGCTTAGCTGCACCACATCAAGTCAAGCTGTCCAAGAGCATACACAATTTTGCTTACAGGAGTATCTCTCTTCCATAATTTTTCAGTTTACGAATAATTCCCTGCATTGGATTATGCTTAGTCAGAAGCACGTATAATATTTTGTTCCAATATTACTGTTGTTGTTTTAATGACATATTCAGAGATGAGGCAAGACACAGGATTAAGTGCAGGGAAGCATTTCAGACCCCAAAAATACATTCTTTAAAATTTAGATATACATGGTTAACACAGGTAGATCTACCCACAGTTGCATAAAAATGACTTTCCTTTTCCAAAGGTGAGCAACTAAGGCTCACTCAGTAAACATCAACTCTTCTGCATCGTGGAATTCCTTATGGGTGTCTGAATCATTCAAATTGTGATTCTGAATATCTGCTAAAATGGAATTACAAAGTGAGTAAGTTAGCATTCTTGAATTAAGTACCCTTATGAAATCCAAGGATAATTAAGCTGACACCTGGAAGACACCCAAAAGACCCCAAGATGTAACAGAAGGTTGATTATTACATTCCCGCACAATTCAAGCAAACTGTTAATATATTAAAAACATGTATTTATGCTATTTATACCTGCTGGATATTCAAATTATTCTGTCCCAAAACAAGATGGATAATTATCCTCTCTGCAGCTGAAAGCAGCCAGAAAACAGTTCACTTCTTAAGAAAAAGAATGGAAACCCTTATTAATTTTTTCAAGCTTCAATTACAACAGTCTAAGCCAGAGACTTACGCAAGTAAGTTTTAAAATAGCCATTTGTTACAAGTAGCAAGTTACCATGAACAATGAACTTGTTAGGAATCCCTTCTAAAAGTACGACACACACAAACAGGCTACCCAGCAGAAAATCTGTTAACAATTTTATTTCTTTTGTAATGTTAAATATTATGGGACAGGATTGTAAGGATGAAAAACTCTCAACAATGCCTCACAAGGGATAAGAAAGAAATTCTGCCATGATACTAGCAAAGTAAGGTAAAGAGAAAATTTACACAGAAAGAGGCACCATTTCCCCCAGAACACCTCTTGTCATATTCCTGAATGAGTGGGATTAGCAATCTAATAAATCATTTTTCAAGAGGTAACAGCAACAGATAAAATTTTAAAGGATTATTAAAATAACATTTACAAGACTCTGAACAATTTTTGAACTCTTATTAAAACCACAGAAAGAAAGAACAATTCTTTATTTATGAATTTTCATAAAGGACTGAATGTGCAACTGACATCTGCTATTGATGATTTAATGTACAATTTTGTCCAGTAGCCGAACAGTTTGTCTTTTTAAATTGTATTTTCTAACCGTGCGAGATCATTAACGGCAAAGCCTGTTATGATGCTGTACACAAAAATGGTCACTTGGGCCATACTACCAGTGAAGTGGTAGATAAAGAAATCTTTTTATGGCCAAGGGAGGAGGAAAAAAAAAGGGAGGGGAGGGGAGGGGTCAAGGGAAGAAAAGAAGCCGCATTTTGCATGCTTCTCTCACTCATTCTTTCTACAAGATGAATTTCCCTAGAAAGAATCCAATGAAAATGGCTGCAATTACAACAAGAAGTGAAGGAAGAGAATTAGAGCCATTATCTCTGAGGGCCAAGGCTGTGGGTGATCCAGATTTATCCGAGTGTGCTACCTTTCTGAGCCTCAAGCCTTCATCCTGAGGGGGGGAAAAAAAATACATGCAAAAAATTTATGAAGATGTCTTCTTAATAATCATGAAAATTTAACTCAAAAGCCAATCTGACTGGTGAACACCTAAGTGAAGTAAAAAAAAAAAAAAAATCATATGGAAAGTAACACTGTACCACACCAAAACCCAAATATCATTGTGAAGCTTGCAAACTATAACATCTCAAATGAGAATAGAGAATCCACCTGTGCATCTCCTCACCTCTGGTTAAGAAAGACTCTGAAATTCTTTCTAGGCACAATAAAGATTCTTGCTTTTACTTACATAGTAAGAATTAAACAACAGTAACTCCTCATTAATTTTGTGCTGTATTTCTCTAAATGTTCCATCGTCACCAAAATTACAGGTATGGAGACAACATTATTTCAGGATTCTTTAAAAGGCTTTGATGGCCATTGCAATTTTCAGCTACCCAACAACACACACAAAAAAGTCACAAAAAGTCACAAACTGACTAGTTATGGGTTACTGAAATGGCACTACTAAATAAAGTTACTGGAGAGTAATATATTGTTTGTTTACTACCTCTGGCCATTCATTTGTTCTTGTTCACTGACATTTTGTGACACAGTGCTACTGCTTTCGTTCTCACTTATTCATTTTTAAAAATGAATACTAATGTGCTTTTATACAAAGCTACAAATTAAGTCTGCAATAGAGAAACCCAAAGTAACTGAGACCACCTTAAAAGGGAATATCTTTATTTCATTTCATTTAAGAAGAAAATAGTGTAGCTTCAGTACCTCATTCGTAACAATGACAAGATCTGTCACTGAGGAGTGGAACAGATATTTTAAACGTTAATTTCACTTGCACATATTCCTGCATTGGGAATCACTAATTCTTAGATCAATTTATAAACCTAACTTTTAGAAATAAACTTAAGCTACATATTCAACTGCAGACAGACTGCACAAGAAAAGGTACAATAACGTATGTTATGAGGGTATGAAGACACACTACTCAACACTTGCCCTTAAAGGACAAAAAAATTACCTTACAAATTAATTTTCACATTTTAGTAATTATATCTACTTTCTGGAATACACTTGCTTAACACCTTTCATTATAAACCAGACCTGCCAGCCAAGAAAAGTGGACCCACTTCAATATAAACATGAAAGCAGAACTTACTCTCAAGTGCCGATTTTCATCCGACAGCTTCATAACTTCTGCCTGAAGTCTTTTGCACTCCTCCACTAGCTTCCTTGTTTCAGTATCATTAAGTGAAACACTATGTGGTTTTGGCATCGGTCCATCCTGTTTAGATGTATTCAGTACTGGGGCGGATTTACTTGCATCTATATCATTCTACAAATATTAAGAATGGCTTGAGAATTTTACTTACCTAGAGAAAAATTATTCACAGCTTAAAACTGAAACAATCCAGCTACTAATGTAGGACAATGAAGTTTATATTTACAGTAATCTAATCAAAGACTTGTTACCAGTTCAATTCTGATTAGCACAAATATTAAAAAGCAACAGAATATTTGCACAGTTCACATTCTGTACTAAATGCCACTGAGACAGAAAGCAATATTTAAGTTTCTTAACACTGACCCCAACAGGCACCCAAAAGATAGCATTCACAAAATACACAATACATACATAAAATAGCACTTGAACTCGGGGAAAAAAAATAAGGGAAGCAAATAGTGCAACAGTAAAAACAGATCAAAGTAAAAAGTAAACAGCTGTTCTTACAAACTAATTTGTTACAATTGTAACTAGTTACAAACTAATATGAAGTATGTATGGGAAAAATATTTTGCGCTTAGAGCACTCCTTACTAAAGGAAAACAAACCATTGCATGAATATGGAACTTAAGCCTCACAGCATTTCTGAAATACATGTTACTAATTTTGAATACAAGCGAAGCATCACACAAAAGGCTGTGAGAAAGCTATAAATAAAATTAATCTAGTTCCTGCAACTCTGCTCAAAGTATACAGTTATCTTCAGCAGACATTAAAAATCCAAAAGATTCAACTGTATAGCTCAGGCCACCATTCACAAAAACATAGCGTTCATATGGCAATACTCTCAGATATAGCTCATAGCAGAGATTCAAGCCTCTATTCTTGCTTGATTTGCTACGCAGCTACGTCACTTAGACCATGACCACATTGCAACCTTTCAGAACATCAGGTTAGTCCAGGGTGAGTACTAACTGTAACAGAGAACCTATTAAAAGCTAACATAGCTATGTAATAACAAAACAAAACAACTAAATAAAGATTCTGATTTGCAAGATTTTCATCAGTTCCTATGCAAACAACGGTGGTTTGGTCTACTGCCTCCGCTTCCATTTTACATCTTCCACAATACCACCACAGACAGCCTAAGAGCCAAATCCTGCTACATTACACAGGTACTCCTAATGGGATTAAAAATAAATAAATGAATACTTACTCATGAATAAGTAGAGCACAATTTGTTTCTTTTTTGCTGGTTCACTAGCTAAACAGTACTCCTTTAGTAGTACTGAAACCTCACAACATTCTTAAGAGTCATCTCCCTGGGACAAACCTGCTTCTTCTGGTGTCTGACCTCACTGACTGGTTCCTTCATGTCAATCTTCTGGCTAGGATTGGGAGGCATCTGAAGAAGGTTATTGCTGACTGGAGTGAAATACATGCGTCCTGGTGTAGGTATATCCTGAGGTGGCAGGTGAGCCTTACTCTCAGGACCTGTCTGATTTCTTTTTGCAAGGGAGTGACTAAATCAACTAAAGGGTTAGGTTCTGCAACCACATGCTGCTACTTCGAAAAATGTAAATATTATGGACAGGCAATAATATGAAGGTATCACATTCAAGGAAAGTACAAAAGGTGTTAGTTTTGTACAAAGCATTACATTTTGCTGATGACATTTTAGTGTAAAATTAAAAATAAGTACAACTTTTCTAATATCTAGGATGTAATTTAATAACATGATAATAAACATAGAAGAAAGCCAACTCAGTACCTTCATAATAAATGTTTAGCTATTATAGTTTTAGAATTTAACGCAAATATAGGCAGCTGACAGCTGAATAAGAGCCTGCATCTCTTAAGTTAACATTTATAAAAAAATTACATCATACTGACCGACATCTGGTCTGAAAAATATCCTCACATTACACTCAAAGGTATATTAAATAAGAATAGTTACAAAGGCAACCACTGACCACCTAGCAGCCTTCATTCAGATCCTTTATGCATGCAAATTATGATACTTTCTTTACATGGATGGATTCTTGCTACTTCCCCCAATACACCCTACAGATTATTTTACAAACTGGATAGTGTTAAAAAAGACAAGTCCAGGCCATGGAGTGAATAAGGCTGTTCACAGATATCCTGCTTCAGCACTTTAATTCACAATGCTAAAAGCAGCAGAAAAAGAAACGCAAAAAAATCAGAGTTTACAGTATTTACGCTATAAATCAAAAATTTAGGGTTATCAGGGTAACAAAATGTTAATGCATAAAAAGTTGTCACATTCTTCAAAACTTGTAGGTAACTGACAGTTAACTATTATTCCAACTATCAGGCAACACAAAATAGACTTCTTCAGTCTCACCATGAATTTATCATCTCTACACAATTAGAATAGATTGTATATGAAGTGAGCAGCATGAGGGAAACAGTGGGAATTTTTTTTTTTTTGTCTGATTACCCATCCTTTCCACTACTTTAAAGATGCATTTAGGACTCCCAGAGCATATACACAGACCTACCCCTAATCAGTACTTCCTTTTCTAATTCAGCTGAATTAGAAACAGAATGTTTAAAATTAAAAGCATTTAATACTTCAAAAAGCAAAGAAAGTAATTCAGCTGTCACTGTCCACAGTACCATGCTGTGCTGAAGATTCTGTTTTGTTTTTAATTGGCAGCAATAAAATGCTTAAAACAAATATTCTCAAGAGAAGCTACAATGGGAATTACATATAACCTGTAAAGGCAACACTATAACCTCTTTGCACTGCAATGTGTAACTGTGTCTACAGAATGTCAGTATTCATACTAAAATTTAATACAGCTCACTCCACACGTCACTATGCATATTTACATCAGTATAATTTGGAGTCCAGTTTCTCTCCAGAATTGTTGAACTGCTATTACAGGTAGTAAATAAAAACTGTATAACAACAGGATTTTTGTCAAATGTTAAAGATGGCCTTCTATTTTAAGATTCATCTCATTAACTGATTAGGATGTGATTCCTTAGACACCATGACTAGGACTCAACTTACTGAACTTCAGCTTTCTAGACGACCCATTTCTAAAGCTGGTTTTCTAGCCTCTCTTTATTAGTCAACGTAGAAAGAAAAGAAAAACAAACCTGGAGATACCAATTTTATTTGCCATATCCTAGAGGCAGGGCCATCAGTTGACTACAGAGAGACAGATGCCTAAATTCTAACATTTCTAACATCAGCTAGCTAAAAATATATGGCACTGATACCATAAAGCAAGTTATGATAAATCGTTATCATTGTCAACACTGTGTGAATTCACAACGTATCAAAGGGCTGCAGCCATCAAACAATGAATGCTGGTGAGCGGTGAGAAGATCAGGCCTCAGTGAAATTCGGAGAAAAAAAATAATCACGGAGAAGTTGCATATTGCACATCCCTCCTGTCTGTTCAATTCAGTACAAATACCTACAATCCATTTAACTCTCAATTTAAGTAACTTTCCAAAAAAAAAATCAGGACAAATTTCTGTGATATCCTAACAACCAGTGCATCAAATAGTTTCTTACTCTTTTCTTACTTACCAGTTTATCATTTTCGTTGGGCATTTCAAACACACATCTCAACTTGGAGTCCATTAACTCATCAGGTTTTGCCTCTTTCCACTAAGACAACAGTTTATATGGTTACTTAACATGTCAGAGTTATGCAAACATTGAACAGTTCTTGAACTTGCTCTTCAAATCCCCCTCATATATAGCTGAATCCTGTCCTTACCCTAGCTGCAATTTTCAAACTAGCTTTTAAACAATTCTTCTATTGTCCATTTTTCACTATTACATAAATAACAAAAGCTGTTAAAACCTAAGCCTGGAAATGAAAATGTATAAATTGAATGCAAGGATAGATCCAGACTAGATTGAGAGGGATAGCAGGGGACAGGGAGGGACAACACAGTGGTTTTCTGAATGCACAAACAGGAAAAAAGTGACGTTTGAGTTGGTCTACAAACAAAGTTACAGCCTATCATTCCTTGGCAGATGTACTCTTTATGTCCTACTTTAGAAGCATCAATGTTAAACAATGGATTGAAAGACATATTTCAGTGGTCCATATTTATTTCCAGAATAAACGTTTTTCAATTATTCGTATTTTAGATTTTTTAATCACTTCTTCCTCCTTTTACTCTATTAGATTATTATTTGTAACTACCATAAAATACTGTAAAATTACATTATGATTTGGGCCTACAAAATACTTCAAAGCAGTTTACAAAACAAAAAAAATTAAATTCTAATAATTATCAATATATTTAACTAACTGTAAAACAGGCCTGAATGTCTCTGCCCAACTGACAACTAACTTTTCATTCATGTGATTGCCTTAAGTCTTTAGAGTGAGGGATTGACCTGAGGTCTGCAGCAATTTTGTTTTCCAGTAATAGGTCCTCTGAAGTTACCTTAAGAGTGGCATGTCTTGCAGAATGAAAGACCCAAGATTTCCATAAAACCTTTGTAATTTTTGTTATGTTTTTTCAGTGGCATTAGTTGGATAGTAATTTATAACTACAATAACTGATTTTCTGCAAGATTTGTCTTTCAGTATTCTATACTTTAATATACTGAGAAAGCAAGTTATTTTAAAGCTATTTCTAAAGTGCATTTTTATATTCTTACCATATAGTTACACTTCACTTAACCACACATAACCTAGAGCTATCAGACTGTGATAAGTAAACTAGACCAACAAGGAAGAAAAGCTTTTGAAACACGTGGTTAAAAAACCTAACAAAATCCAAAAGGTGTTCCACTATTTCCAGTGGAGAGAGTCCGTGAAGAGAGACGCCACGAGCGGTCTTTACCTTCGTGTAAGGGGACACAGCCTAAGCCTGCCCAGATCTAACGGACTTCAGTGTGTTGTAAAAGACTGCTCTATCCTTTGTTTCATCCCCCCTCCTCTACCTTGAGCTACTAAAGCGAACACTGAACATACCTGTGGAAAGACAGGCAGTCCTTAAAACACTCTATAGAGACAGTAGCCCGGGCATCATTCCCCTAAACCTTAACATGCATGATTATGGGAGCCCATGTACACCCTGCTAAATTCTGACAATTGAAGGCTTCCCACTGCTGCCAGCTTGGGAGATCAGGAACAGGTGTCCTGACTTCTGAACAAACAAGCACAATCTATCCTGCTAAGTTCCTAAATCTCCTCTTTCTGGATCTTCATCAGCCCAATTTGCCCAAGAACTGAATCAATAACATGTTCTATTAAACAGAAAGTAAATCAGCTGTGCAGGCTTTAACTGCTTGACTATCTTGTAGAGGGACATTTGAGGGCCTTAGCCTCTCAAACATCTGAATTCCTCAGAAACCCATTCAACATTTCAGACAAACACTTCTTACACCAAACGCACTCATTTCATATAGCTTACTTCAGGCTCGCGGTTTGTACGTACTCTGCATTCCTTCGCTCTCAACCTGTTTATCCTCTTCCTATTAGCTGCATATAAGATACAACAGGCCCATCGTTTTACCACTAACCTAATCTTACCTAAGATTCACTATTTTCTTTCCGTTCACTAGGCAAGTTCCAAGCACTGAGGTTGTATTTAATATTCAAAACCCTGAATCACTTACGGAAGTCATATTTGTTCAGAGAAAATCCAATTTTTTCCTCCAAAAATGAATTACAAATAAGTGATTCATTTAAACTAAAACTTAAGTCTTAGAGAAAAAGCTACAGCAGTCATTCTACCTCATTTTTACTTACCACTGCCTCCATATCTGAAATATTTGGTGGTGCATAGATTGTCTGTACCATGAACTTGTGTTTACTCTTCTCATTTGGGTCATAGTCAAAAGGCTGTAGCATTACTGTTCAAAAGAAAAATAAAGTGTAAGATTATGTGGTTCTTCAGCTAATCACTGTAGTAAGCACTTTAGGTTTACTTTTTACTAAATAGACACTGAAAGGTAAAATGTAAAGGCAGTTCTGGAAATAGAGCAGAAATACACTGTAGCAATAGCTGGTGACAGGAAACAAATCTTACAACTGTTAAAAATTCTGTTTTTTAACAGTGTTGGGTAGTTTGGAAGATTATTTTTGCAATTACCATAGTTAAAATATATTTAACATACAAGTAAGGATAAAAAAAGATTCTGCAAGACAGATGGGCAAAAAAATAAGCAAACATCCTAAGACTTCTCTGTGCAATAGATACGTTTTGAGGTTACTCGAATGGAAAGATAAAAGATTTATAGTACATATTACGACAGCTCCTCAGGGAAAAAAAGAGGGCCTACATTAGGCCCCAAGTAGTAGGGCAAGTTTGACCGATTTTTAAAGACATATTAATCTAAGTCGGGATGTAAACTACTGAAATACTTAATTTAAACCACAATTATTATAAGACGTCATTATACAGTAAAGAGCTGCCTAGGAGCTTTAATGGAGCATCTTTGCACTACCTTCAAATTCAGCTTTTTTTTTTTTTCTTTTTAAAAAGATTTATAGTGCTTAGCTATGGAGTAACTACACAATGCACTTTATTCAGGTTTTAACACATTCTTAACTTTAAGTACAGTCTGACAGTTAATATTTGTCCAAAAGTACTCCAAAATCTAGGCAGACTACTAAATGCTACAGCGCGTTTTGGGCCTCCAGCGCATTCTACTGGGGGAGAAGGAGAGGGAAGGGATTCAAGATCAAGTTCTTTGTAAAGGTGATTTTAAGTGATATATTAAAATAAAGCTCATAATACCCTCTCCTGGTGTTTAATTTTATATATTTTTGTCTGCTTACTTTCAGACTTCTACACACTCTAATGTAGGTTTAAAAAAAAAAAAAAACCCACTCCCGAATGAAACTGCACGTTTTGACACATGACCGTTTGCTCTACAAGTACCAGAGGTACCACAGGCGAACAGTTGGGGGTTCTGTAGGAGTAAAACACTTCTTGAATGATAGCATTTTTACCGTACTTCCAGCTTTCCCAAGCTAACAGTTCTGTTGGGTAAAGAACAGAAATTTATATTGCTGAAGCTATTACTCTGAAGTGTACACAAACTCGGTTAAAAGCAAAAAAAACAACCCACATCAACAACACTATTTGCCATCTCCATTATTTCTACAGCATTATGAATATTGCACAGTATTTTTAAATGAAAGCTTTAAATACAGAAATACAGTACCTTCTTTCATGTTGTACAATGCCATCCAGGAGCAGACTGTATGTTTTTATACTGCATAGAGTTGCCCAGGTCTCCCTGGCATCACTATTTTTTAGGGGTGGGAGGGGAGAGGGGAGTAGCTCACAAGGACTGAAATAACATGACATGCATAATACAGATCAGGAGAATCTTTTTTTTTTTTTTTTTTTTTTAAACAGGATATAGTCACATATTCTGGGGCACAGTATAAGCGTTTGCAGAAATAGCTGAATACATGAAGTTTGTTAGGATAGTGTTGGAGGACTGCTGAAGAGAGGGATGCACAGCTAATACAAGCTACCTCTTGTCCTTGCTGTCTGTCTGGAGGAGATCTTGAAACAAACTATCACATTAACCCCTTGTTCGCATTTCCCTTCTGAAAATATTCGCTGACTCACTCCAGACAGGAGCCCAGGACCACACAAATTTAAATTTAAAGTGTTTTTCTGTGTGTATACGTATACAACTTGGACTCCTAGAGGATGAGGACTCAGAGTAAACAGTAGAGCTAAGTTATTTGACAAGGTAAATACACTTGTCTTCCACCGAGAGTGAATTTCAGTTTAGCATATCCTTATACAAAATAAAATAGAAGTTTAAGTCATTTCAGATAAAAATTAAAAAACTAAGAATCACATTTATGGAGTCTTATCAACAGGTATCTCTACACTTCTCTATTTTACAGCAATGAAAAAGCTAATGCAGAAATACTGATTTAGCTAGGAAAACACACTGCACGCTCTGAACAAGGTCATCATATAGCCTAAACCAGCTTGCTCTGTGAACTTCAGTACTGCTGCACATTTTTCATCAATTAAATTCTATTTTCCACAAATCTGAACCTTCATTGTGTACTTCAACATTTTTGTTTTCACTAACAGAGAAAATTCTTCCTGGTAAGAATAAACTACAGTCTATGAAATACAGTCTATAAAATACAAGATACAGTACCAAAATGACTTAATGGCCTCTCCAAACTCACTAGTACCTATGAAGTTATTCCTCAATTTGATTGTATTTACTTATATAACTTAAACCTGAGATATTAAGTTGCATGTTGCAAGTGGTTGCTACTGCATGATTATCTGATCTTTTTCTTAAATGTTGCATATAGCATAATCAAAGGAAAAGTAAAAAATGGCAAGAAGATGTATTTCACAAATGAAGCACATGCAGCACTTGACGTGCTTTCAAACAATATATTTGGAAAGGTTTAATGCTAGGTTTCTTTAATCCTTGATCTCGTTGCCCACATCATAACTGAGCGAACCACAGGCTTCTTCTAAGGGTGCAGGCTATAGAACAAGTCTTAGAGGTAAACTGCTGTGAACATATTATTGAATAGCATGCAGTATTTCAGTTTTACTGAGCCAAGGAAACTGATGGAATAACCTTAACGGTGGCAAAGTCAGGTTTCCATCATCTGAGAACTTCTTCCTACACTGGCAGAATCCTTGGGTAAATAAATAACTTTATGTTCTTTGACCACTTGCTCTCAGATGAAAATCTGACTGGATTGAACAGCTGCACAGGTAAAGACAATCCATAGATTCAGAGAGCTCTTCAAGCTCTGCTAGGTTTTAAAGAATCATGGAAAAGCACATCAATATATGAGGCCAGAATTTTCAACAAGTGTTCCTGAGGTGTCTGAATAGTGCTCAGATCACTTCTAAGGGAACCTAGAAGGGAACCAGGCTTCCAAGGGAAGCCTTGTTAACAGGCTTAAGTTTTCAAAGCAGGAGGACTTTAGTTCCACAAAATAAATTTTAAAGGGGTCTGAAAACCAAACTTAATTGTGAAGGACAAACAGTAACATGCAATACTCGGAAAAGAAAAATCAACAATAAGCAATTACTATACATGATACAATAACAAATAGTTAATTTAGATCATCAAACTAAAGGGCAAGCTATGCAAATCAACAGTAAAGAAAAATGGCTATAAAAAATTAGTATTTCTGGAAAACATACAAACGTGGTTGAAAAAGGTTACCAACTTATTCAAAGTTGCACGACAGACAATATACCCACGGACTTCCCTTAAAATGAGTACTAAGTCCTACATCTGAAAATTAATTTAAGAACTAGCTTGACTCTGAATCAGTATGATACATTATACAGGCTGAAGACAGCTAACAAACACCTCAATATTTAGTTTTGAATATGGAGTTTCAGTCAGTGGTATGTTATAGTGATTCTTCTCTATACAACTATGCGAGAGAAATCTATTTATAATGATATGAAAGATAATGAGGCAGCACTGAAAACATTCATTTGAGAGACTGATGAGATAAAGTGGGTCACTAGAAAAATTCTCTGCACACTTGACTTATCAAACGACCCAATTAAAAAAATAAAAAATTAAGACCATACTTCAGGGAAGAGAACTTAACTCTGAAAAGCATCTTGGGCTTGCTGCAGCTAAACAACTGTACATAAGCTTCTGGTAAGACAGAAAAAGGAACACCCAAGATTTACAGCTATGCAAACTGGAGACTCAACCAACAGGTTAGTTTCCCTTTACTGGGGAACCTGAAGTTCAAATATTGTTTACAACTCAAGTTATTTACTGCTTGTAAAAGAACATTTAAAAAGGGAAATATTCAAAGAATTGCAAACATGCTTCACAACAGGCAAAGGGAATACTTCAATCTATTCAATTCACTGAAGAGAAAGTCTAGTGATATCTATCATGATCTGTATACGACTAGCCCTGCGGAAAGTTACTCTAACATTTTAATCAATCATAACCCAAATTATAATCATTAACTCAAAATTTTCCTGAGCTACTCCTTGCAACTTTTGGATATATCATCTGAAACTACTTCCCCCAACTTCTTTTCAGCTGAAGTATATGAAACTGAAAAGTTCTCAGGATTGCTCAGTGCTTCCTTTTTGCTTCGTTACAGTTCTGCAGCGGTTCTACGAGAACCTTAACTACACTACCATCAGCTATAGATGTTACAGGTATGAGCTTCTAGATCTCCTCCAGCCTCTAAAACCGCAACTTAACAACAGTTGATTTCCATCTCTCCAAGTTGGGAAATATGATGGGTCCACAGGAAAGTAGAACTCTCTCTCCTCTTGCAGTCCTTCATTTGAGAATGTCCGTATTCAGGAAATTTCTGCATCACAATGATCAGGAGAATGACCCACCAAAAAGCATTTACCAAGCCAAAAACTGATACCTACTCTTTCCCCATGTCTTTGAGAATGTCCACTTGCCTGATTCTTAACATCTAGTCCTTCTCACAGTCCAGTACAAGCTTAAACCATTTTATGTCCAGCTAGTAAAATTCCGCTGACTGTCAAAATAATGTAAGCCAAACCTACATGGAATTTCATGGAAAAAAAGATTGTATCCTCTGGCCTCAGGGCTCATTCTCTGCTGTATATTAAACTTTTTTTCTTTTCACAAAAATGGATTAAGAAGTGTTTCTATAGTGAAACGTAGTAGATTTTTTTAAACTACAGCTCCACCTAAATAACAAAAACTCTCTTTCCTTAAGTGTCATTTAACGGTTACCACTTAACACATAGCAACATAAGTGGATAAATTAAAGCGATAAGGTCCAAAAAACAGGCACCAATACTGTGGTCAAAACAACCACCCTATCATTCTGAACGTATTTTTTAAATGCCATAAACTGCCAAACGTTAAACTCCAAACACATCGGAGCGGCCAAGCAGTGTCCCACTTCAAGATATAAGCATGAATATAGTAGACTGAAGCAAAGGTACTGTTAATGCCACTGCCCATCTCCAACTTCCTTTCTGCTTTACACATTGAGAACTGCAGGTAAATGTGATAGTAAATATCTCTGTATAGAAGATTTCCATACATTACTGCAGCACTACCAAAAGTTGACAGTTGCACTAATGAAGAGGAAGAGTTTTATTTTTAAGAATCTTTTTAAAAAGCTGATGTACTCCCAACAGCCTGTAAGATCACTGTTAGAGAACTTCACAAAAGGTCTAAAAACACATAACTTACAACTGAGTATATACGGATACCTGAAACAATTACAGACAATCCTGGATCAATAATTCCACTGTTCGGCCTCACGCAGTATCGACGAGGTGCTGTGGTCTTCACTTTGAAGCATACTTTTCTATCTGATGGATTTCGTAGTTTAAGATTTGTGGTTACTACATCTGTGAAGGGACCTGAAAAAAGGGTGTTTTTTTTTAAAAAAAAAAAAAAAAAAAGCATGTTTTTCAGAAAAAAGACCTTTGTACAGTACCAATCACTCTTAAAATATAATATGATTACAACAACCTTCTAAAAGCAGAAAGTTAAATCATAAATCTGTTAACTTATGCTGTTACATGCAAAGCATGCTCTACCACTTTAGTTATGCTAAAATACATTACAGCAATGAACAAATATAACTCTTAAATAGCATGAAAGCTGGTGCAGAAAGTTCACATATATATTTTCACACAGACTTGATTATGCTTATTTTCCCAAAGCTTTCTTAATATTCTAAGTAACTAGATGGTAATGATCATATGCCAAAGTAAATTTTGGTGTATCTTTGTTTAGAAATGGAAGCAAAATACAGTTTGGAACTCTCTCAAATATTAAAAAAACAAAAACAAAAAAACAAAAAAAAAAAACAAAAAACGAACTGTTATACTGAGATATACTATCTGCTCTTGAAACTTCAATTTCTGCTGCGCTACTGAGCGGCTACAGCCTTAACTGAAAGAGACACCAATCTCATATTTTAAGCTCAAAAATAGGCTTATACAATGTTTATATATAAACTCTAAATGAGCCACAGAAAATAAATTTTCACTGCTGTATTTACCTATTTTCAATGCAGCGTATTCTCTAAACCGTGTTTTTTTGAAACCATCAAGATATGAATGGCCTCTAAGGCTAAATCAGGCAACAGAGGCAAAGTCAGCTGCACAAGCTCCTCTTCCAGCATAGATCATCTTCACGTGATGCCATAAAGCAACAGCTTGACAAGGAATAAACGTTCATAGTGTTCTGAACTGCGTTCATCTCCCTTACGCTTACGACATCTGAAAGCAAGACTGTGCAGGTACTGAAAGAATATAACTTCGGGACTGGATTTTTATATAAACATGAAATTTTTTCAGTACTATTTAATGTGTACATTAAGAACGCTCTTTAATGTTATTTAAAAATTATACATCAAATTACTACAAAATACATTTCATAGTTATTGAAAACATGACAACCACTTACTCATTTAAAAACATACACATACATACACGCACACACACAGCAAACCTTTAGATTAAATAGGATGAAAAATATGTAAGACATGAACAAGTGGCAAGGTAAACTAAGCTACTAATGCATGAGATAAGGGAAGTCAATTCTCCTCTGGGTACATTATTTCACAACAGATGTCTCTGGACTACTCCGAAGCAAATGATACTGACCACTACCAAACATGACCAGAGGGCTTACTATCCACTATTAGCTAGAAACTTTCTTCCTATAACCCTACATTCCCTCAGTCCAAATCCTCGATTCTGAAAGAATGCTAACCACAGTCTTGACATAGAAATGATGAGATACAAGTCAATAATGAACTAAATTACTAAAAGTGGAATTATCGAAAACCAGAACATAATGATTTAGATGGAGACACACATGAATCAAGTTTACATTTAGTAAGGGGGGAGAGGGGTTGTGTGTTTTTTGTTTGTTTGTCTGTTTGTTTTGAGAAAATAGTAACCGCTATTCTAAAAAACCTGAAAACTTTGCTTCTAATCTGGTTTTATATGGTAGAGGAAGATCATCGCCGTCTTAATCCAAGCCAAGATGAGGTGGTCCCCTGCCAGGAATCTTTACAAAAACTGCTTCAAAGTTTCCTGCCACTTGTCTCCCAATAGCTCATGCTGTATTCAGTCACATTGGCTTACAGAGTTTGATCCAGAAATAACGCCCATCTCCCATACCACAAACAGAACAAATATCAAATATCTGAAAACTCTTCTAAATCCAAGACTGCCAGTATACTCAGAAAGGTCCAAACCTTTATTTTTTGAGCTATACAAACATTTTCTGAGGAAGTTATTCTGGGAATTTTACTTACAGCCATCTAGGAATTGCCCTTGCAATGCCCAGCTGCATACCATACTTTGGATTTGGCTTTCAAAGCCTCTTCTTTTGCAACTCTAAACAACCTGAGGTTAAAAGTAAGAACAGAGAGCTCTAACTGCTTCTTAGTCTTCATGAATACTATTGCCAAGGAAATTCTGCTTAAACAAAAAAAAAAAAAGGCCCAGTTCAGAGGTTCATTCTGAAAGGCACTGTCATCATCAAAAGGAGCTACATCATTCCCAAACAGGCCTATCTCAAGACATGGAAGCAGCAAATTTCTGAAGTGACGATTTTTTTTTTTTTTAAATTACAGTGGTTTTTTTTAAAGACATGAAAGGTCCCTTCATGCCTTCCTTCTCAAAGTTTGCACAATAACAGTAAGACGTGATTCAAAATACTCCTCAAATTATTCTGATATTTCCCCTTTGAGTTCTAACATCACGTATGAAAGAAATCCTGCTTTTGTTCCCCAGATACAAATGTGTTGAACACAACACATTTCCTGGATGCTCTCCCTCCCCTCCAAAAAAAGCCTTTAGCTTTAGTAACATTTTTTAGCATTAGACATTTCTCCAAAAGCAGATTGAAATCTTTTTCAAGGACTACAGCACCCTTTTAACAATTCTACCTTTCACCTGCTTTCCAAGAGCCTCAAAGGAAAAAAACTATATAAAACCTCCCAAGACTCACAACCATTACATTTAATAAATAGCTGCTAACAAACTGCTGCACAGAGAGAAACAAAAGGAAAAAAAGACTAGGTACCACTTTCTTGCAGACCCCAGCTACTTTGGTAATTCAATGGCATACTGACAGACAGCACTGACCTGGCCACGGACAGGCAGGAATAAGACCTTTCTGACACAAGGGCAGTAAATCAAAAAGTATCTGCTAGCATTCAGAGAAGCAGCACGGTCTAAATTACATGACATATCCCACAGGGGAAAAAAGAACAAAACAAAAAAATATGAAGCAGCAAACGGAATACTGGAGTTCCCACTCACACAAACATACATACCACTACCCCTGTGCAAGCGGGGAAATAAAAGACGACCTGGAACTCACAGGCTGAGTGCAAAAGCATAAATTATATGATTCCATGAGGAAAAAAAAAGAAAAAGGGATCGGGAGGAGAGAAGGGATCGGGAGCAAGAAACATTTTAGGCCATGCTACCCAGTGACCACATCATTTAAACTACATATAGGCTCATTTCTATCTGCACCCACCAAACAAAAATACCTCATCTACTATCCTTTGCCTAATACTCCCATTGTAGACTGTCTGATACTATCTTTTATTTTTCCAAACTAAAACTAGGAGCTCTTGGATCTGCAGCTAGGGTTTACAGAAGCTGTGGTAATTCAACTAATAAAATCCTCAAGCTATACTGATTTAACTGTGATGTACTCTGGGAGTCAAAGCTATTCTGAAGCGCATAGGGAGTTCAAAAACCTTTTTGGCAGTGCAGACTCTAGATACTAATTTCACCATCTTTCTAGAAAAAAAGCTGGAGGAAAACAAAAAAGAAAAAAAAAGCTAGTCTATCACCACTGTTTTGAATGGGGTAGTGACTATCTAGGCCAAGATTTTTCCTATTTGACTTTTTTAAGAGCCTTAGAAAGGCATGAGAGACACCTGCCTAATCACACTCAGAAAAACTAGAGATCTCCAAAAATACCATGCAATAGATTTTTATTCCAACCCTTTTACACTGCAGCCAACACAAAAATTAATACAGGAGTTGCCTCTGGCAACTACACACCTTGGACTAGATCAAATAGTGGCCAGGAAGAAATGACACAGATTCTGCGGTTTCCACTGCTGAAGTGCTGTCTCAAGTTTGCCTGCTTGCCACAAGCTTGCCTGCTACGCTGCAATAAAGCCAAAATATTATCTACAACTGGACAGGCAGGAGCTGTACAGAAATATTTTTGACCTATAGTGTCACATTTTCTCTTCAAATTTAGGTCTCCTTCCAATCATGAGCTCTGAAAGTCTGCCTTCTGCCTCCTGGAACGGCCAAAACACAGGGTAAAAATGATGATGTGAATATGCCTATCTACAGTAATAAGGAAGAGCTTAAAGGAACCTTGGCATTCTGCAGCACCCACGGGAAAAGGCAGAGATGACTGCAGATATCTCCGCTTGCTGGTAGTACAGAGCAAACTAACAGAAACAATTTTTGAGAACAGGAAAGGTTTGCTTATCAGAAGCTCAATTCTTGGAAAGTTAGAAAAGACTACCATGATGTACACACAACACGTGTCACAGAACACCTCTATCTTTGTATAGAATTACATAAAATTTTCAACTAAAAGGCAACTTGTAGAATTGTACAAAACGGAGCATGCATTATTCAAAAATTCAGTAACGGTTTATGTGAAGCTTAGTTCATGCTTTAAGTTTACCATTCTCTTCAATTTAAGATATTGAACTGTAACTGTTCTAAAATCTGATACCTAAGCTGACTCTGCCAGAAGGCACTATACTTCATGCATGGAACCTAAGTCTAAGCTGTAAATTACCACAGTAAAATAATATATTCAGCTACATCTAAACACTATACAAGCACACATAAGGAAAAAAAAAAAAAAAGTACTTAAACTGGCAAAAAAGAATCTGAACGTCTTTAAAAAAAGGGTAAGTTACAGTGTTACCTTCAAAATTTTTCTGAATGATATGCTCTTTTTCCACTGCTGCTTTATCATCTTTGAAATTTTAGAAGCACTTAAAACATACTGAAAATATCACGGTATCTTTTCCAAAACAAACTCAGGCAGGCTATTTTTCTTTCAGTGTACAATAAATTCAGGCTGGCAGATAAAGAAAAATCATTTACCACACTTGAAAAGTCTGAGCCCTAATGAATGAGAAAGCAGTTAACTGCATGATATCAGTTAGATAAAACTAGCAAGACAAATTTTGAGAGGAACAGGAAAGTTCCAGGAAACTTTTACAGCACGCATGACACGAACATAGTTAAGATCTACATCAACTCATTCTACCACTATTAGAAGTAACAGGAGAATAAATAAAGAGTGTGTAACATAAAAACATTTATTACAACATATGAATGTA